GCCACAGAGAAGGCTCTCCCCCTGGGGGTCGCCAGCCGGCATTGACTGGCCGACGGCACCCTAAGGAGGCCCTCTCTGTGGGAGCGGACTGGTCGAAGGGAGATATTTGGTAGGAGGCGGTCTTGCAAATACCTAGGTCCATTGCCATGGAGCGCTTTAAAAGTTGTTACTAACACCTTGAAGCGCACCCGGAAGGCCATCGGCAGCCAGTGCAGCTCGCGCAGGAGAGGTGTTATCAGGGAATAGAGAAGGTTCTCCAATTATTTCTGCAGGTTCTTCTTTCCAACAGGCACAGCTATGAAATCTGGATGGTTTTGCTCAGGATGTGTGTTGTATGAACTAGGTATTTTGCCTTTTTCCTTTCATAAGACATATTCTCTTATACAACCAGCAAACAAGCTTCAGACAAAACCATTTGGATTTGTTAGCTGTATCTGCTAGCAGAGCCACCAGTGGAAGTAAATGAAACAGGGTGCAACATACTTCTCATTCACTGATACATCAAAGTTGTTCAGAGTTCTTACAATTCTGAAAAAAATACACATGAAAATAACTCTTCTATCTTTGTTCAGCTTTGCTGCTTCTCTTATTTGTGAAAAGAAAAAGTTTAAAAAGTTCAAAGACAAAATTTTCATGAAACCAAGCTAAAAGTAAAAGGAGTAGCAAATACCTTATATATGTAATTAAGAACAGATTTTTCAGTTTTATCATTTTCAGATGCTGCAGGGTGAATAGGCTGTAATAATGTCCGCAGTGGCAATGCCATTGTCCAGTCCAACAAACAAAGAAGTAGAGATACCACCAACTGTAATAGAAAAATTTCTCAATTACAGATAACCATGAAGGATAGTTTATTTGATTTGCTTTTCCATGCTTCCTTTTTAACTGTAGTTTCAGCAGGAAATAATATGAGAAGCAGTTTGTAGCTCAGTATGCGTTATGCCAACAGTTTGATAGTAGAATTATAAAAACAAATAAGTAATAAGATCCTACTAAACCCCCCCAAGGGGTGTGAAAACTTGGGTTTTCAAAATTATAGTGTATATGCATAATTTGTTGCTGTTATTTCAAACTTTTGTAAGGGGTGCGAGAATATATCAGAAGCATTCTAGGGGTTGGGGTATAGAAAAGGTTGGGAACCACTGCTATAAGGGGAAAGATCACTTGCCAAAAGAGACTTTCTTTTGAAAACTGCAAGCTTTGGATCCAGGTCGCTCTGCTACTTTTGTTTGAAATTAAAACATAAAAGGGACCTATATCACAGAAAGGAATTTGTTTTACATTAAAGACCCTTGCTGGATTAATTACTGATTGGCAATTGAACCTACTGTGAAATACCTTTGTAGTCAGTGAAAGATGAACATAGCAGGAAAAAAAATAAAAAATAAAGGATTTCTCTACTCTAGGATGTGTGGTGGACAGAAATTGGGAAGCAGAATTTTGCATTTTTAGCTGGAAGAAAGAGAGTACAATTTCTTCCTGCCCTTTCGAGGAAACCCTTTCCATTCATTCACTTGTACTGATTTTAGTTCAGTTGTTTTATCTTTTCCTTTAGTGTGTGTTAATAACAAACTTGTAACTGCTAAAATGCATAGAAATGGAAAAATAACATTTAATGGCTAATATAATGCAGTAATGTAATTTGCACCCTGAATCTTGGGTCACTTGGTTTCGTAGATACATTTTTCTCTTCTTTCCAAATAGGGTGGAATTGTTGGGTTTATATTATAGTGATCAGAAAGGGAAGCCCAACTACTGGGAGCTGAAAAGAAGGGGTGATACTATAGCAGTATTCTCAGGGTGGACTTGTGTAACAATTTATATCACTTTTTGTTACATAGCATGACCAAAAGTTATGTCTTTGTCACACATATCTATTTTATATTACTTCACAAAGGTCAATGACTCTGTAGCCTTATACACTTCTATTAACAATATTCTAGTTAATGATGCTGTTGACATGGCCATTTCCAATTTACAGAGTGTGTTCTGAAGTTAGAAGGAGGCCGTGTATTGCCATATTCTGAAATCATCTGCAGATTTCTTGTTTTGTAAAAGATAAATAAATAATTGACCTTTTGCTCTTCTACTGTACATTTGAGCTTGAGCCTTTGGACCTGTCATTCACTTTTAGCCCAACCTACCCTCACAGAGTTCTAGTTCTCAGGAAAAATAGCATGCAGGAGCATTATTGCTGTATACTGCCTTCAGCTGACCAAAAAAATAAAAATAAAAATGGAAGGATAAAAATCTGAAAATAAGTAAGTGAAATGGAATTGATAGTGGTGAGAGCAAGAACATGTCCACAAGGAAGCAATGCACACGAGGGACCTAAGCTCCTTGCCCATCCAGGAAAATGGAGCCGAAGCCTACTTATGCAACTTACAACATATACTTCATGGTTTCATTTATAACCCAAACTATCTGTTCTTCAATTTTGCATTAGTCATAAATATACATTGCAATAGAGTAACATAAAATAAATCTGCTTACTCTTTTATCTTGCTCATAAGAAGAAGCTTCTGTACTGGGCAAGAGATGAGTGATGGTAGCTATCAATATCTGCAGATAATAAACATATTTTTAAAAAGAAATTTGACCACCCATGACCTCCTGGGTCATCCTTCCAAAAATATTTCTTTACCAGATTCCTCAATGCCTTCAACAATGACAAACTTCTAGTGCACTACCTTCAGTAGATACATTCAGGGATGTAGCTGTTTTGAAAATAGCACATGTACAT